TGTAGGGGTTTGGGTAGCGGGGGACGGTCCCCTTAGTTACCGGAAGGCTTTTCATTCTAGCATGGCACATAATGCACATTACAGTACTCGTAGATTATCCTAAAATGAAAAGAGTTTATCGACTGTAGCTGGCTGGCTAATTAGCTCTGAGAGTTGGTGGAAAACTCCAGTCTTTATTTCATACGCACGCAAGCTTGGCTCGCCTCAGTTTGAGTCGACGCACCAGGACAGGGATTTTCATTTCACCAAAAATATGGCTATTGGCTTGGAGGTGTGTCTCTACAGGCAGAGCGCCGCGATGGTCCAGACAGCTCAAGACTGAATGAAAAGAGAGATTGGAGCAGCTACCTAAGCGCCGCTTCCGGTGACAATCACATTTAACTTCCTATAAGTTCTTCACAATAAAAGTCTCCGGTTATTTTGTTATTTAAACTCTTTTATTATGAAGCAGTAAAATAAGGAACTGTTGGGTTTCCATCAGCAGTAACTTCAACCGACTCCTACGCAGCTGAAAGCGAACATGAAACAGTAAAATAAAGCAGAAATCTGAAAGTACAAACAGGAGTGAAACTGAACTTCAAACCACAGAGATTCAGCTCAAGCTGAACACTCCAAGACAAACGTCTGTCTCTGCTCTCCTGTACAGACACAAGTCTGTGAGTCGAAGGGGGTCGTCACGGGTTGCCGAGAAGCCACCGCAGCTCGCTTAGAGGCAGGTCGCACGTGCTTAGGCCACACTCGGGAGAACGTCCATCTCAGGCACAACTCGGAAGTTTACAACCACAGTCTGATCAGCTGGCTACTGGAGCACTTGGGAGGGGCAAGAGATGCTTTTTCACTTTCCCCACCCGGATTTCGGTCACAAGCTCGCTTCTCTAACCTTTAGAGAAGGTCAGCTACACAAAGTTGGAGCCGAGACAGCAGACGATGCTTCAAAAACAGACGCTGCTGCAGAGAAACTCCTAATTCTAAACGGACGCTGCTATTGATCGGTCAGGGCTCATTGCACTGTAACAAAGACATCCACCTTACTGGAGACAAAACCAACTATTACATCACAAGGATTAAGCTGGGGATGGCTTCAGGTTGATTACCTGGAATGTAAATGTCCCAGAGGCAGAGGCACATCGACTGCGCCTGGTAACAAGTGTTTTCTGGGAGACGGGCTAATGAGAGCTGAGAGCTGGACTAATGACCAGCAGCAACCAGGGGACGAGCTCTGGCTCAAAGGAAGACAGTAAGATTGATAAGCAGGGAGATGAGAAAGGAGCAGGGCAATAATGCGGCTGCAATAAGAATCACGCGCCAGGAACAATAGAAGCAAAAATGCCCCAAAAATTCACTGGTTCCAGAATCAAGAATGTGCAGATTTTACTGTTTTATATAAAATTGTAAATTAATGAATTTCATTTTTTTTTTTTTTTTTTTTTTACTATTTTTTTGACATTTTAGAGCCTTAACAATTACTAGATATCATTACAGGTTTATTCAATTGTTGTTGGGAGGCAGCTCCATCGACTCTAAGAAAAAAAGTCTGATAGTATTGAGTCTTATGGAGAAATGAGTCGACTTCTCAGTTGATTTATTCCCTCAGTAAACAGTTTCCTGATGAGTTTCTGGTCTCAGTCTGTAGTTTCAGTCTTCTTCCATACAGCATGATGTTCATTTAGTAACTGATGGTCCCATTTAGAGTAAAACAGACCATAAAGCAGGGTATGCTTTAGGGCAGGGCTACCTTGTGATTGACAGCTCATTCTCAGTGAGTCCGTCCAGCTCAACGCACCAAACTCAGATCAAACAGTGCTGATCCGATATGGATCCAGATTCTGTTGTTGACTATTTCTCTCCTTAAATCTGTTCACAAACATATTTTAGTCAACTGTTTTCTGTAATATGAGAAGCCGAGAGCCACCATTGTTCTGTTTCCCAAGTTGAAACCAAACATTGCCAAAGAAAACAACATAGTTATGACCATAATGCCAAACTAGAGGCTGTAAAATGGTACTCCACTAACCAATAACCAGGACATTTTGCAAGAAGAAAACCCCCAAACATTGTAATATTTGTGATTCTCAGCTAAAATTGTTCATTATTATTGACCCATAAAGTCCACACCTACTTTTGGCCGTCACTCTTTTCAGTCTGACGCTCCCAGTGGAACCAGTCACTAAACTGCACAAACTGAACTTCCATTATCCTCCTTTAATAACTCAGTCCTCTGGAACACAGCACCCTTATCTCTGTGTACATACTGTATATATTGTGCTGTTTTAACTGTATGGTTTCTTGCATTAGCTGTATGTATGTATGTTTCACGTGCTGTATCGACTTGCCTCCTGACGCTGCCTCTTGGTCAGGTCGTCACTATAAAAGGAGAAATGGTTCTCCAGTGATTAAAAAAAGACCCTGATCTCAAGAAGTCTGTGTTGGACAGGCATTTTAATATGCTATTACAACTAGAAGACAAAGCCCAGAAACATATTGACAGTGAAAATATTTGTTAGTTGCAGCCCCTCATATGGACCGATCATTAGAAAGTAAACACTGAAGTCCCTTCTTCATCAAAACATTCTCAATTAATGGATTAATTGTTTGGTCTATTAAATGTCAGAGAATAGTGAAAAATGACATTCAACAGTTCCCCGGAGCCCAAGGTGACATTATCAAATTGCTTGCTTTGTCCAGGCTACGGTCCAAAACTCAGAGACATTCAACAATCCTCACATTTGAGAAGCTGGAACCAGGAAATGTTTGGCACTCTCGCTTTAAAAAATGACCTCTTATCAAAAGATAGTTTGTGTTCGATTGTCTGTCCATCAAACTTAAAGAATCTAGAAGTGAAAGTCGATGTGTGTTATTTTAAAACATTAAAGCAGAGACCAGCTGCACGTTTCCTACCGTTCACTCAGACTGTGATCAGCAGTATTCAACATATTTGCGGCTGACGGACAGATAGGCCAGAATACCACCTGGGAAGTGTTGAAAGATTGGACGGGTTGAGTGTCACAGGGTTCAAACTGGCGTCTAATAAGCTCCCGCCCACACGCAGTAGAAGAGAGGGAGTACGAGGTGAATGTACTGAAAATAAGAGACAGAAATGAAGAGAGCAACAAGTCTGACAAAGGGAGGGCTGAAGACAAAGAAGAGGAGGAGGAGGAGGAGGAGGAGGAAGAGGCAGGGAGAATTAACGCAGTCTGTTCTCACAGGGGGGCTGAGACCTAGAACAGTAAGTAAACCTAGTGGAAGCCTGCAGGGCGGCTGTGGTCCCCTGGTACGCCACAACTACTGGCACGCAGCCTGTCTGCTCAGAATGGAAACACTCGGAGGAGCCAGCACGGAGGCGCTGCTACTGACTGGAGGGCAGGAGGAAGCAGGAAACGACACTCAGCGCTCAGCGTCGGCAACCGTAGCGCTAAACACAAACAAAAAGGCGCCTTTCGATCACAACCACTAACACCGCACAGAGGAGTGACGTCAGGTATCTGTATACATACCAGAACAAAAGATTAAAACACCATCAGGATGATGAAAAAAAAAAAGGCTGATCTTGAACAGTCAGCGTTTCAGGACAATGTGAGAAAAGCTTTTTTTATTCACCATGTGCTCTGTGGCTAAGCAAAAATGAAAATACTGTGTCAGGAGAAAGAGGTGCGCTTTTGTCCAGTTAGGTACAACAACACCTCAACTCTGACCACAAGAAAATGTGCTAGATGCAATATCTGGTAGATGGAGGGACACAGTCCTCGCATGGCGAGTGCCACACAGCAGCTGCACCGACGTTACTGAAACCGCACCAAACCGTGGCTCGATTCAGCTTCCAACGTTTGGAACAAAGGTAAATAACTAAAAACAGTCCAACCCGCGGTGGTACCGGACCGATCGCCGTCCTGTGAGGAAGCTACAGGCCGTGGTTTGGTGCTAGGTGTGTGTAAGAAGTGGCTTAAAGAGGTTAGCGTAGCTGCTGCTAGCATCAGTTATATCAGAACTAGAAAGTATTTCTTCATTTCTCGGTGGAAAATACGTTTTTCTCTCCTCTCCCGACTGGCTTCAGTAAGAGTTTGACTACGTTATGTGGTTCGTTGATCATTGTTTCCAACAACAACTTCCCTGATGGTTCTGTGTAACAAAGCAGTAGCAGTCAGGGTAACTTTAATGATTATTAGCCACAGCTGATTAATTCGGTATGGGTCAGTGTAAGCCTGGTACCTGGATGTTTAGCACGTTGCCACAGTCATGCCAGCGGCTCTATGTACGTACATACAGCAATGCTTCAAGCTCCATGCTAACGTAAGCATGTTTAAAATGCTCCCGACAATCTTAACACACAGATGTTCTCCATCTCATGCTAACATTTGATAATTAGTAATAAAAAAGTACAACTAATGCTGATGGGATTCAGGGCTGTACATTAGCACTTGCCGGACTATCCGTCTATATTTCTTTGTGAACAGTGAGCAGGATTCATCCTCTGGACTAATGAATGTCTGTACAATATAAAGACAGTCCATCCAGCGACCAACCGACAGACTGACGCTGCCGTTACTAGAGTTGTGCTGCTAACGTGGTTAAAACGTCTCAGAGCTAAATGATTCCAGGTATTTTATCAACCTGGAGCCAAAACAGAAACAACCATCAGGACATGTGTTTATGTAGCTATACCAATATGTCATTAATGGATTTATTAAACTCTGAAACACTCATATCAGCCTTTAAAAGCCAGCATCAGTCAGTCAGTCATTGGCCGACTGGTTTCCTGAGCAAACTCCTTCAGATATATTTTCATTACATTTGGCTCAGAGGAGTCACGTACAATGCTCGTGTGAATGTGATCACATTCAAATAAAAGCGATTTCGACAATAGTTTTATTTAATTGTCTGTCGATGAGCGGTCGGAGAGGCTTCAGGCTGTCGGTCGTTCTATCCCGACGCTTACGGCTTTTCATCTGATTCTTCTGAGTGGATTTGTGATGTGATTAAAAACAAAAAAAAAAGGGACTTACCAATTTTCTGGTTGAAAATTTTGTCAAATGTCAGTTCGTCTCTCTCCTCCAGGTACTTCTGCATCACGCTGCGAATACTGTGAACACAAGGTGGCGGGGGGGAGGGGGGAGAGGAGAAGTGGATTAGTACACACCATCATTACCAGTTCACTCAGCCAGATGCAACAATAACCTGATCTCAGAGATATCCCTCCTCCACCTTCCACCTTCCATCTGTGATCCCGGCCGAGGTTTGGGACTCTCCCCGCCACCTGTCCCCTGACAGTCAAACTGCAGGGAGGGAAGAGGGACACGTGGGAGGCTGTTGGGGGGAACCTGGAGAGATACATGCTACCCTGGGAACGGGTGATAATGAGAATGAGAGTGGGGAGAATGAATCAATTAGCACCCCCTCCACGGGCCCATTAACACTACACCAGCACCCTACAGAGGAAAGTGGCCAGGCTTTCACCTGCAAACACCGCCCGGCGGCACGCACTGAGCATATGCGAGGAGGAACCTCCTTGGCTCTTTGTGACTGGGTCGTAATTTCTTCCAGTATTTACATTTTGATAGCGTTGGCTTACACGGCTAGTTACTGTAGCTTTCTGTTCCAACAGCAGACAAACAACACAATCATAAATAACCTTTTGTTTCCAGGATCAACGCCAAAGAAAATGTTACAAAACCGTACGAGCATTTACGGAGGAAAATGTGTGTGACTGCAGCGAGCACTGAGGCTGACTGGTGATAGATGTAATGGTTAGAGGATGGGGCCTTCATAACACTGGTGTATGAACACTTTACAGCAGCTAATAACTGAAACTACACTTAATGATAATAGGCTAATGTACAGTTGATCAGTGTGTAATATTCAGATTGGATTATAAGTGTTGCGTCCGCTTACAGGTGCTTAGTTTTAAGCCTGAATACCTCATAATAAAACCTGAACAGGGCATCATAATGAGCTCCTGTTTATTAATATGTGATCCTTCAAGAATCACACATGATTCAATATCTTCTTGTAGAAAAAAAAAGGTACTTTTTCGATACCACGTATTAAAACGATATGATACTCTCATTTGGTAGAATCGAAAGCACCGAAGCTGCATAAAAAAACGGATGTACAATCAGATTTGAACCCACGGTTGCACAGATAAAACAACGGGGGAAGAACATTCATTCAATAGTGATGATAATGTTAATTTCTACTAATATTATTACAAATGTGTTGAAAAAGAGGTATTGAATATCATTTTACTATATTTGTATTGCATCTAAGTTTGTGAATGAGCTCCAATTATCTTCTTATATATTCAACTTTGTGCACTTTCTTCAATGTTAAAAACCCCATCATTACTTCTGTAACTATATATGGACAGCTTGTGTAGCATAAACAGGTTTTCGTGTAACAACTGAGCAAAGACACGCTCAAAGAATGAAGTGCATGAGTGTGACTGTTGCTCCAGAAATGACACTAATAAAAGCAGCCTTCTTCCTCCTTTTTAAGACAATGATACGTTGTCCCCCTCTCTCTCCCTCTCTCTCTCAACCCAACCGGTCGAGGCGGCTACAGCCCCGGTTCTGCCTCTTAAAAGGAAGTGTTTGCTCGTGTTGGGCATTGCCGGCTTTCTGTAAATAATATTTATAGAGTATAATCCAGACCTGCTCTTCATTAAAAGGTATCCTGAGATAACCTCTGACACGATTCAGCACTATTTAAACAAACTCAAACGCAGGTTCCATATTTTCTTCAGCCAATAAAAACATCAAGGCCACCGGGACCTGCAGTGAAACTATAAAGTGATCTAACTCACAACGCCAGGAGTGGATGGGAGAGTGGGAATGAACGGTCGATGCAGCATTTCAACTGCAGCCACAGCTACAGGAACAAGAACCTAGGAAGTAAGCACTTCCTCTTTCAGAGAGGCCTGTTTGTTTGCCCCACTGAATCATTAGCAGCTGACTCTGGATTATTCGTATGAAACCTCACCACTTCAGAGGCTGTATTAGAACTGTTGTTTACTGTAAAAGCCTTATTAGGCCTACAGGACACGTACGGGGAGGGGAGGTTTCTGATACGGTATGTTTTGGTTGTTGAGGTCAGATATGAGCTTATATCAGCAGACAGTGGTGAGAACTCACGAGAACACAGGTGCATCAAAACAAAAGTAATCGTGTACCACATTGGTTTGGTTATTGTCTATAACGTCAGACAACTTTCTCACTTCGACACGAGTCGCATTCAGCTAGATAGTTTGTATTTTAACAGGGTTTCCACTCTTTAAGAAATCATTTTCCAGTTTTTCTTGACAATCCAGGACAGCACTTTCTGCCAGACAGTCATATAATTCACCGGTAGGTCCAGTACTGACACATTAAACCCCAGTTTTATTCCTCTTTTTTACTAATGAAGGTTTGAGATGAAGTGTCTCGGGGTCGTTACAGGTAGGTGGTCAGCGTTTATGGGACGCGTTAGCTCACTTTCGTGGCGCACTGGCCCGACTGACTCCACTTTACTACAGTTTTCCTCTAACATTAATGGGGAATTAAGTCATTTGGGCCTTTGACAAATACAAATTTATTGGGGAATCGTGGCCAAAATGTAGGAAACCGAGGCCAAAACTACCAAACAGTTTATAAAGTATCGGAAAAAATTAGCTCAACCTTAATACAGCAGTAAAATGCAACATTAATGCAGCAGTAATATTTAAAAAAATCATACATTGAACAGTAAAACAGTGACAGGAGGCGATAATTACGATTAATGTACGATAATTACGTACATTTTGCTGCTACTTACATACTTTTTACCTCAGTAAGCTGCTAGCAATGTTAACTTTCTGAAGGTCTCTCTAGAAATATCGCGCCACTGTTGATGTTTAGTGTGACGCGTCGCAGTCGTTTAAAGAGGAAATACACAACATTTATTTTAAGGGAACAACGGACAGTTCAAAACAGAGCGATGCTAAATGGGGCACGACTTCAACGGCTCTGCGATAGGGTATGAAAAAAAATCATAATGTGACTATTTTGACAGATATTTTGATTAACTGTGTGGCTCTAAGAAGACAATGTACAATGAACGTAGCTGGGAACCCTGTTAAATACAATAGAAGTTAATGGTGAAACGTCCCTGACTGACATGCAGACCTTGTTGTGAGCAGGTTTCATTGATTTAATCCCAAAGACAACCTCAGCCAACGACAGCAGCAGCTTTAGCTTACAGGAGCAGATGACCCGAGCGGAGCAGAAAACAAAGGAGACTCCTGCTGTGTCGATGCAGTTTGAGTGACAGAATCACTGCTGGCACATGGTGATAAATAAGGCGATATTATCTACAGGGGACCGCCGTGACACTGAACACGTATGAGAGGTGGCCTGACACATGTGGGATGAATGTGGCACCAACGCTGACCAGCCATCACGTTCACAGGATTTCAAAAGACTGAGATGAAACAATCAAATAGGGCTGCAAATAACCATTAATTACATTATGGATCAATCTGTGGATCATTCTCTCCATTAATCGACCGGTTGTTTGGTCCGTAAAATGTCAGAAACATAAAAGAGATTCAGTTTACTGTCTAACGAAAACCAGAAAATCACATCTGAGAAGCTGAAAACAGAGAATTTGGACATTTTTCCAACACAAATGAGTCAAAATAACTGGAGATTCATTTAAAAGCTGAAAACTAACTGATTAATCAAGTAGTTGTTGCAGCTCTATAATCAAGAGTACAGAATTGGGTCTTGACCTATTAAACAGTCTCACATGAAGCCTCAACTTCGTGTAGGGGTGTGAGAAAATATTTTTAAAAAACGTATCGTGATATTTTATCTTCATGATATTGTATTGATTTTGGTGTTTAAACCCCAAACTAACAGTGCTGTAAAGGTAAACTGAAGACTACAATACCACCATATCACCTGGCTTACAGTACCTCAGTACATTGAAGTACAGTAGCTCCAGCACGTCACCGCTGTTGGAGGCTATGAGCTCTGCAGCCACACTGAAACACCATAAATGCACAAAACTCCAGCTCTGAAGTCATCCTGCTCCTGATACATACACCCTGCTGCCCAACGCGAGCTGCAGTGGATTGATAATGTATCACTGGAGAATGTTTCCTACCCTCAACCAATCCAACACACAGATCACAGACTGCAACTCAACTCTGTACCCACTTCTTCAGTCAGTAAATTATATTTACAACTGATCATATCTGTACATTTTCTATTAATAAAAGGTAAAGAAATACACTTCTGGGATTTTTTTTCAATTAGTCAATCAACCAAAACATTAATCAGGAACTATTTTGATATTCGGTTGCTCATCACACTATCCTAAAAATAAGATATTCACTCCGAGGACGGGGTGCAACAGGGAGCAACTGGAAACGTGGTGTTGGTAACGGGGATAACAGCAGTGGGAAGGTCAGTAAATACAAAGATATTCTGTTGTTTTCTTGAGGAGTGAGAAGCGGATCTACGCTAGTACTGGCGATGTGCTTACTATACGCTTGGATACAGACGAGAGCCACAAGAACACACACTGCACCTTCCTTTTGGCTGCAGTTACATAATTGTGCCTCCATTACATCTGCTTCAGCAGCTGTTAGCACAGTCGGATGAGGGAACGTGCTCACCTCGCCAACAAAATGAGCACAACAACAATAAGCCAACAGCTACCGACGCTGCTTTAGTCTTCTACTGCCTCGTAGGTGACCTTATTTAAACCGCCGGCAGCTACTGCTGTGATGACCAAGCCAGCACGCTGATGGTGGGAGACCCTGACCTAATTACATCTCTTCCTAAATACCCATAGCTGCCAGTGCATACCTAAAAAGCTTATTGGTCTTTTTTTTAAGCACACTGGTTTTATTTACTACACATGACTGGACAGCAGCTCTGGCTACATTCCTATACATTTAACCCCAAAACCACCTTTTTGGAGGTATTTGGTCCAAATCTTTAAATTTTTTTTGCAAAACACTTACGTAAAATAAAAATGCAAAGCGACCGCCCTTATCACCAACCCCCTCTCCCCTCCCACTCCTATAAAACCAAGGCCACGACTCTGTAGACTGTGGCCTGC